GTTTGGACTCCGGCGGGGATTCCTGATCCAACTATGGGCTACGACACACACAAGTAGTCCTCCAGTCATCGTTCAATCGCAGGTTGAAAATTCCCTGGCAACTTTAACATTCTTCTGCTAGGTTTCCCCTGCAACCACTTCCGAATTCCCTCGGATTTTACTCTTCTATTCTATTGATCAAACATGGCGACGACCCCCACCACCACCATGCTCTTGCCGACTTTATGACACATGACCTAATTAAGACTTTCAAATCTCCATCCAGTGTTCAATGTCAATTAATTTGCGCCACTGCCATATAATGCCCTCATTTATTTCTACTCAAGGATGTCAGTGTTATCGGCGTTCAACAGATCGATCGAGTTGTGGAGGTCGTCGAACAGACGCTCTTGGGTAAGTTACTTTCAGCCGTATATAATGCCCCATGCATCTCTCTCCCTCGGAATTTTTTTCTATTACCACTGATCTGGTTATTCCTGTCGTTTTAGGGAACACTGTTCGCTTCATGGAGAAACGGATTGATGAGAGCGATCCGAAGCACCGCCGCCTGGGCGGAGCGCCCCTATCCCTGCCTAAAATCCGACGGAATCCACTGATCGAGATACTCGCCATCAGCACTGGTTGCCTAAATGCCTGCACCTATTGTAAGACAAAGCACGCTCGTGGTGTTCTGGCCAGCTACCCGATAGCAGAGTTAGTGCAGCAAGCGGAGGAGGCTTTTGCAGGTGTAGGATTGCGTTTATTCTCATCCACATAGTTTACTCGAACAAAAAGATCTACTGAATTCTAACAAGTAGTGCTTATGTTTTAGAGGGAGTCAAAGAAGTCTGGCTAACATCTGAAGACCTCGGCGCCTATGGACGTGATCTGCCCCGTAGCGAATTTTCCCCGAAGATAGTATCCCCAGTTGTAGCCAGCCAATGGCCGGACCACATTACACTTGCAGATTTGTTGATAAACTTGGTGCCCGTCATTCCAGCTGGCTGTATGCTTCGACTTGGAATGACCAACCCCCCATACATTCTGGATCAGCTGAACGAGATCGCTGCGGTCTTGAGGCATCCACGCGTGTACACCTTCCTCCACATACCTGTCCAATCAGGTTAGTATGCCGTTTTAGTTTTTTTTTTTTAATCAGTTCGGATAAATGTGGTCTGCTTATTTTCCCCAATCCCAGACTAAGTTGCCCTCTTAAGTTATTTGCTGATCCATGTTATTTGATTTTGGCTCTCCGTCTATTTGAGCTCCTCATTCTCAAAGAGAGCGTTTCTGTTCTATTTCTTTGCGTTTTTAATAGACTTTAAATCATCCTTGGAAAAAGAAACCTTGGCATATAAACCGTCTTCACTTTGATGGTGTTACGGAGTATGTAGATTTATCGCTTGTTGACATTTTCAAGCTGGCTCTGAAGCCATTATCTGCATTTTTTGTTTGCCGCTATCTTGGTCGTTTGGTTAGCTACCGCCGGATGTAGAAAGCGCCTTAACTTCCATTTATCACCTTCGATTTTTTTCCGCGTCTGTAGGCTCTAATCACGTGCTGGGTGCTATGCGGAGGGAATACACCATTGAGGAGTTTTCCCGCGTTGTGGACTTTCTCACGGAGAATGTCAACTTTACTGACTCCAAGTAAGGTTATCGCTTAGTTGCTACTGCCTCAGCTTTCTCTGCCGTTCCCCACACTCCGTTGACTGATCCTCTTTTTATCGCCTCGTAGGCACAAGCTGACAATCGCCACCGACATCATCTGCGGTTTTCCCAACGAGACTGAGCCGGACTTTCGGGAGACTGTTGCACTGGTTGAGCGTTACAAGTTTCCTGTCCTCTACGTTAATCAGTTCTTTGCCAGACCCGGCACTCCAGCTGCCTCCATGAAAAGGTGGTTTTCTCTGCGAGCTGTTGATCTCCATCCCCTACTCTCCTTTGTCGAGCATAACGCGGATCTTCCCTCTCCTCCCCCCCCTACTCTTTCTACGCCTCCCTCCCTACTTCAACTCTTCCTTGTCCTACCTCTAGTCCCCCCTTCCTTCTTCTACCTCTCATCTCCCTCCTCTTCCTACGTGTACTCATCCTCATCATACAACCCCTCTTCCTTCGACCCCTACGCCCCCTATTCCTCCTACACCTCCTATTCTTCTTCGCCCTACGTCCTTTGTTCCTCCTATGCCTCCTCTTCCTCCTACTCCTACATCTCTTCTTCCTTCTCCTGCGCCTCTTCTTCCTCCTACGCCCCATCTTCTTCCTCCTATGTCTCATCTTCCTCCTCCTCTCCCGTCTCCTACGTCGACTCTTCCTTCTCCTCCTCCTACGCCCCCTCCTACGTCTCCTCACCCTCCTACGCGTCCTATTCTTCCTCCTAAGTCTTTTCTTCCTTCTACTACCCCCGTTCCACCTACACCTTCTCCTACACCTCTTCTTCGTCTTACTTCCATCTCCTACGCCTCCTCTTCCTCCTAAGTTCCTTATCCTACGCCTATTCTTCCTCTTCCTACGCACCCTTTTCCTCCTCCACATACGTCCCCTGTTCCTCCTACGCCTACTCCTACACCTCTTCCTATTCCTCCTCTTCGTTCTCCTCCTATGCCTCAACTTCCTCCTCCTACTCCTTCAACTCTTCTTCCTCCTACACCCCATCTTCTCCTATGTCTCATCTTCATACGCCTTCGCCTCCTCAATCGTGGCCGGCGCTTTAAAGATCTCCTTTTTTGCACCACCAACAGAGAGGCCACCACTGCGGAGGTGAAGAAACGGACGCGTCTCCTGCACGACTTCTTTCGCAGCTATCGGCCCTACACCGGACGGGAGGGTCTGCGGTATCGGGTCCTGATAACAGAGACCAGCACTGATGGCCTGCACTGGGTGGGACATACAAAAGCCTACGAACAGGTAAGTAAGCACACAAACTGCTGTACACCAAGTCCTTATGCTTTAGTCTTGAGGACAGTTACGCAAAATATGCTGCATCCTACGAATCCGTCAGATGTAACACGCATGATATTGCGCAAGAAAACATTGGCGAACAGGCCCAGAAATAGGGCTACGATAGATGGGGAATGAAGGAATGCAAAGGGCCAGTAAGTGTACTTGGCTTTCACCTCTCTCTATCCATCTGGCCTTAGATGCAGCATGGATAGCCCAACCGGCATGTGTTCTGTTGGCTGGTGAATGAAGCTAAGGACCAGTCACCGCTGTAGGGTTTCCAGTTGATCCTTTCACAAGCCCCAGTGTCCTTCTGCGTTCAGTGGTCGTAGTTCTGAAAATACCTTTTCTCAATGCAGCACAGGACTTGGAGTATCACTTGTAAATCTAGTCA